GGGTTCTGTCCCTGGATTTGGGAGGGGGGTGGGGTCTAGTGGTTAGAGCAGGGGGGCTGGGAGCCAGGGCAGCTGGATTCTGTCCCTGGATTTGGGAGGGGAGTGGGGTCTAGTGGTTAGAGCAGGGGGGGCCAGGAGCAAGGACTCCTGGGTTCCATCCCAGACTCTGGCTGGACATCCCGTGCAGCAGCTGAATTAACCCCTTGTGGCTTGTTCCGCTCCCGGGTCCCCTGTTGCTGGGTGAAACCAACAAACTGGCAAAGAGGCTGAGGTGGGTGCTGCAGGGGGTGGGGGGGCACCAATCCCCGCCCCTGACCCGCCCCGTCTCTGCCGCAGCACCGGAGCCCGAGGGGCTGGGGCTGGGCTCCGAGGCGGAGGCCGAGCTGCGGAACCGGCTGGCTGTGCGGGACCGCCGGAAAGGCCGGCGGGAACGACGCTCCACGGGCATGGTGCAGAACGCAGAGGTGAGCGGAGGGGGCCAGGCCCCGGGTGGGCAGGGCAGCTGGGCCACTTCACCGGTGGGGTCGGGGGGGGGAGATCCGGGCTCGGCCTCCCTAGGGGGTAATAACAGAGCCGGGAGGGGGGCTGGGACTTTCGGGGGGGGAAGGGGGGGGGGGCGCGGGGGCCCAGGATTACACGTAGGTGGTTATGGAGGGCTCATACCTGGGTGACAGGAAGATCCGGAGGGGCGGGGCGTGCTTCCTGGGGTGTCTGTTAACTCCCCCCCCCCCCCCGGATACCCCTTCCTGCCCCTCGGCCTCTCTTTAGGGCGACGAGACCGAGGAGCCGGAGCAGCTGAATGACACCGCCCCGGGATCCAGGTACCTGCCGGCCGGGAGCTCCAGGTACCAGCCGCCCCCAGCATTGCCACGGGGTCCTGAGAGACGCTAAACGGGGGTGAGGGGGTTCAGGCTCAGAAGGGAGACCTCCGGGGGGGGCTCTCCCCTGGCAGGCAGGGCTGGCCCCAATGCCCCAGGGCGGCACAAGGGGACACTAGGCTGCAGGGGGTGCTCTTCCCTGGCAGGCAGGACCCCCCCCACCCCCAATGCCCTAGGGGGCGCTGGGCTGCATGGAGGGGGACAGAGCTCAGTAGCGGGTGCTCTCCCCTGGCAGGCTGGGCCCCCCCGATGCCCATGGGGGCGCTGGGCTGCAGGGAGGGGGACCGAGAGCTCAGTAGGGGGTGCTCTCCCCTGGCAGGCTGGCCCTCCCCCGATGCCCTAGGGGGCGCTGGGCTGCATGGAGCAGGACAGAGAGCTCAGTAGGGGGTGCTCTCCCCTGGCAGGCTGGGCCCCCCCCCCGATGCCCCAGGGGGCGCTGGGCTGCAGGGAGGGGGACAGAGAGCTCAGTAGGGGGCGCTATAGCCCAGCTGTGTTTCAAACTAGAGACCGCCGACAGCCCACCCCAGAGGTGGCTGCATCTCGGTGCCGGGTGAGGACCTGGAGGGTACGGGGGGGGAGCCCGCCCCTTGCAGTAACAGGGCGGTGTCTGTCTGTCTGTCTGTCTCACCAGCACGTCCGACCACTTGAACAGCCTCCTACCCCACCGGACGGACGCCTACGGCTGCGCCAGGCTCAGCAGCGTGGGCAGCGCCGGGGACGAGCATGAATACAAAAAGGTGGGGCAGGGGCCGAACCCCCCAGCACCCTGAACCCCACCCCCTCGTGCTGGGGCATCTGCCCCTCCAAACCTCCCCTTCACCCAAGCACTGGGCTGGCTAGTGGTTCGGGCGGGGAGGGGAGCCAGGACTCCTGGGTTCTCTCCCCAGCTCTGGGCCCCCCCCTCCCCCCCAGCTCTATGAAGATCTCCAGGTGGAGAACGAGAAGCTGAAGGAGCAGTTGCAGGAGACGCAGCTGAAGCTGACCCAGATCAAGCTGGAACTGGAGCGGGTGACCCAGGTGAGGGGCGGGGCGCCAGGGCTGGGGTGGCACCAGGGGCAGGCGACGGTGGGGAGGGGCTCCCTTCCCTTCTCCCAGACCCCCTGCCCCATGGCCTGCTGGAGGGGGAGACCACACAGCCACCACTGCAAAGGATTCTGGGATAGCCTGCCAGGGCGAGGGTGATAGGAGAGTGGTAGCGTTGTGCCCCAGGGCATTATGGGGGACGAGGGCGTTCCAGGCAGCGTGGGGGCGTCTCTGCCCGCCCTGACAGACTGCCCCCGGGGGGGGCAGGCACCGGGTTACCCGGTCGAATGCCCACGGCTCTGCCGCGTTCCCTGTGGACCCTTGCCATAGCCGGGCTGGGAGGAGAGACCTGGACAGAAAACCCTGGTGAGCTCAGCAGGGGGCGCTCTCCCTTGGCAGGCAGGGCTGGCCCCGGGGCGGCGCTAGGGGGCGCTGGGCTGCAGGGGGTCCAGCAGGGGGTGCTCTCCCCCGGCAGGCAGGGCTGGCCCCAGGGCGGCGCTAGGGGGCGCTGGGCTGCCATGGGGAGATGGGGTGGGGAGCTCAGCACTGGTGTTCGATGTCTCACTGCCCCCACACAGCCCCCCCTGCTGGCAGCCCCCTGCAACTCCACCCGTTGCCCAGAGATGCTCAGTAAATATTGACCCAGGGCGCTGGGCTGGGCTGGGCTGGTCCCTCTCAGCGGCTGCTTTTGCTCTGAGTCACCTGCCGGTTCTCTCCAGCGGCCAGTTATTGCCCCGGGGCGGGGAGGAGGAATTTAAGGTGGATCCTCTGTATAGCGTCGCCCTGGGTCTGGCTGGGGTGGGGGGGGTCGAATCGGGCGTGCGGCGTTCCCCCTCTAGAGGGCGCCGTCTCTCACCCTGTGCTTGGTGTCGTTGGCAGAGGCAGGAGCGCTTTGCCGAGCGGCCGGCGCGGCTGGAGCTGGAGAGATTTGTAAGTACCTGCCCCCGCTGTGGGGGCACCGTGCCCCCAGGGCACGGCCCCCCATCCCCACCCCCAAGCCAGCTGGGGTCTTCACTCTGCCCCCCTGAGGAGTCCACCCTCGGGGGGCGAGCTGCCCCGCCCCCAGCTGGGGCTGTGTGGTCTCCACTCACCAACCCCCTCTCTCCGGCCCCCCAGGAGCGCCGGGCCTTGGAGCGGAAGGCGGCGGAGCTGGAGGAGGAGCTGAAGGTAATTGGATCAGCACCAGACTGGATGGGCCCCTGTGGGTGGCGAGGGGCCGGGACACCGGGGCAGATGGGTCGGGGCGCTGATCTGGGGGAAGGGAGCAGATGGGATACCGGGGGACTGATCCGGGGAAGGGGGCAGACGGGACACCGGGGGGCTGAGCAGACGCTAACCCCCGTCCTCTCCCCCAGGCTCTATCGGACCTGAAGGCCGATAACCAGCGCCTGAAGGACGAGAACGCGGCTTTGATCCGGGTCATCAGCAAACTCTCCAAGTGACGCCCCCCGCCCAGGGCAGGGAGTCGCCCCACTTCCCGGGCCAGCCCCTTCCAGCCGGCAGGGAGCCCCCCCACAC